GCATGCAGCTGGTATGTCTGTTGTGGTGGATGGGGAGGGGGCAGGGGGTAGGGAAGGGGAATGGGGGGACAGCTCAACACCCCCCACGGTGAGGGAGGGAGGGGGCCTGGAGCAGGCACTGCCCAGCTGGACCAGGGCACAGGGGAAGGGAATGGTTCCTGCCGCTGCACATACCCCAGGAGGGGATGGGGGGGGCAGTGCCCCTAGATCTGCACAAGGCAGGGTGGACTGCAGCTGTAGGCTGGGGACAGGGGCCATGCCAGGCTCTTCCCTGCAGGGGCCTAGACAGCACTACAGTGGGGGCAGGCGATCATAGCACTGGAGACAGGGTTATTGGGGGGGAGGGTAAACTACAGCAAAGTTTGAGGTGGCTGCAGTCCTGCCCCGTAGCTCCCCTCCCAGCACTGCCACTGCCCACCATGAGTACAGTGCAGCCCAGCCCCTCCCCCACCCAGAAGAGCCTGGTGTAGCCCCAGGCCGCTGTTCTGCCCCACACATCTGGGGGCACCCTCTCCCCTGTGCCCACCTCGGGTGCATGCCTCCTAACAAACCGCGGCTCCATCCCACACCCCACCCTGCCCTGGCAGTGCCTGCCCCAGCCCCTCTCCCTAACCATGGGGAGCATTGATCTGCACCCCACCACATCTCTTTCCTTCCCCCTCCTCTTCCACCACAACAGACTTACCAGTTGCACTGGAAAGCAGATTGTAAGGAGGCATAGATTGATACCAATCTGCTATCAGTGCACCCATTGTTTTGTCATTTGAGAATGGTTACTCTGAGGTCAGTGATGAAATGGACAGGGAGGTTAACATGTTCTGCCACAGGCTTTTGTGTTTTTCTAGGACTGATGTCAGATCAGTGTTCATTCTTTCTTGCACATATAGATTGCCCCATGTGTCCAATGTAGGCAGCAGAGGGGCACTGCAAGCAGGTAATCAATGTTTCCTAGAAGTCTCTGCATCTAGCTCTGAAGCCTGTCACAAACATCTCCACCCCTTTAAGGTTATTAAAGAAGCAAAACTTTCCAAACTTTTGAGCTCCAATAACACCCCTACAACCTATGACCACAAACTCAGCTTTGCTGTACTAGCCTATGGTCTTTACCTCATTGAATTGTGTAGTGGGGCAGAAGGATAGCTGTATGGGGACCTCAAGGTAAGAAACCTGACAACTCAGGACACCCCACATTGGTGCCAACATAGAGGGAGTTTCTGGCTACAATTGACTTATATTCCCTATTGGCATTAGAGCTGACACCTATTTGAAGGACATCACAGATTTCCATGCCGTACCTATGGTGCCCATATGAAGGTGATGTCATCAGCATACATGGGAAAGAATCTCTATAGATATTCCACCAGGACTTTCATACCTCCATCAAACTGACTCCAGATTACTCTACCCAGCAAAATTCATTTCTTGGATACCACTGTGAAAACTTGCAATGGTCACATCACTACGTCACATCAAAAACCAACTGATCACTACAGCTACATCCATCACCAGCATTTATCCTAGACACACCACTAGATCAACTGTCTACTGCCAAGCTTTTACAACTGTGTCTGCTCTGACGCTACTAGCTGGGATACAAGTCTTTGTTACCTGGGACAGGGATTTCTTCATTTACAATACCATCCCTCTCCCCCCTGCCCCCCCCCCCCCCCCCC